CGGGGCCCAGCGCAGAGCCGAGCAGGACGGGAGGCGCCGACTCTCCCGCCGCCGCCCGGCAAGGCCTTTGGCGGAGAGAAATCGGAGCAGAGACCCGGCCGGGCTCGGGGACATGGTGACGGGATGTCCCGCATCGCAGACGCCTTCCCTCTGCACCTGCTCGTCTGGCATAACCGGCACCAGGCGCTGGACAGCGAGCTGCGCAAGGGACAGGTAGGAGCTGGTCAAGTCTCTGTCGCCGACTCGCCCAGGGTCATCTCTTTTCTCATCCTGTCATCCCAGGCCAGCCGATTGCTCCCTTATAGTCGGAGATGTGTAGGGAGAGGAGGATGTGGTTCAGGACCCTTTGCCATGGTAGCCCCATGGAAATCAGTGCAGTCACGGGAAGCGGGCGAGGGGGGGGGGAGAGACAATGAATAAGGCCCCAGATCCGGTATTTATCCTGAGATGGCTCCTTCTAGCTTAGGTGTCACCTGCATGTTACTGAATCCACTTTTTTCAGTGAATTCCCATCCCAGGAATACACATATAAATGAATAAGGCCCCAGATCCGGTATTTATCCTGAGATGGCTCCTTCTGGCTTAGGTATCACCTGCATGTTATTGAATCCACTTTTTTCCGTGAATTCCCATCCCAGGAATACACATATAGAGGGTGAAAGCTATGGGAGGGATATTTCTTTAGTTGGGATGGCACCATCATTCCCCTCTCCTCTTAATCTCAGAATGTTCTTGTCCCCTTATTTCAATTACTTCTTTAAACACCAGCCTTTTTATCCACATCCCAATCTTTCTAGTTTGGAGAATAGTTACGTAGATAAATGCCATGCTTCCCTTGTGCTTGGAATCCCCAGTTGAGGGGCAAGCTAGGAATGCCTTCACTCGTCACTGAAATTGGCACTCGAAATTTGAAAGGGGGGAAAAAAGCCCTTCTTTTGAGGCCATCTGCTTGGAATCCCACAATCCAGCACTTTTTCATTTCTACCTGGCAGCAGCCCTAAACCAGGTGGGGGCACATGAGGACAAGCCTCATTCTGAAGATTCACATACAGCTGGTTCTAGTCAAATAATTACCAGGGTACTGTAACACTGAAGCCTAGTGTATCCTGTCCTCAGCCCATAGTAGACCCCTGTTCAATATACAGCTCCCCACCATTTTGGGGAGAATGCAAAATAACCCTTAAAAATAAGGATGCAAGGACATGGCTGGTATAGTCTCTTTTTGTATACAGTATGCATGTATTTTGTTCCCCCAGTTTGTGCCCTTCCCTATCAGCTGTTGCATTGAACACTGGGCAGGCGAACCTGTGCTAGGAAATGGTGGTAGTAGATAAATGGTAGAGGCCAGCTAACCAGGTGGTCACAGGTTGGTGGCTGCTGGTTAGATCAGTGGTTCTTAACCTTTGTTACTCGGATGCTTTTGAACTGCAACTCCCAGAAACCCCAGTCAGGACAGCTGGTGGTGAAGGCTTCTGGGAGTTGCAGTCCAAAACTCCTGAGTAACCCAAGGTTAAAAACCAGTGGGTTAGATAACAATTGCCTTTTAAATATTTTGCTTTTCTTCTCCAGCCCGGAAGTGGAGCCAAGGGAAGCAGGGTGTTAGAAGGCCTGTGTGGGAATGTTGGGGAGGAGTTCGGCCTGGCAACTAATTCAGAACAAAGAGAAATGTGGATCAGGCCACATCAGCTCTGATGCTGCTGATGGTCACCCCAAGGAAAACCTGGAATCTGGCCTTCTTGGTGGCGGCTGCTACTTTATGGAACACCCTAGTAAGGGAGGTGAGCCTGGCGGCCCCTTCCCTCCTAGCATTTTGAAAACTAATAAAAAACCTACCTATTCAGAGAAGCTTTTCAGAGTATCCTCCCCTCATAACAACCTATTACAATTATTTTACACTTTGTTTTGGTTGTTATCATTGGGGTTCATGGTTGTTTTCTTGATCATATGTTTGATGAATGTGCTGGGTTGTTGATTTTATATGATTTTATCTGTGTAAACCGACCAGAGTAATGACATGTCACTAGATGAGTGGTATACAAGTTCAATCAATCAATCAATCACTAATTTGAAGAAGATGGGAAGAGGCAGAGAGAAGTTGATGGTGACTCAGAAAAAGCATCCCCCCCCTTTTTTTCTGAAGGGGAAAAACAGGAAGAGAAAATTAATTGGGACACTTGGAAAGGTGAAACTTGGGAGCATTTGGGATGATGATTTTTGGGAGGTTCTTGGAAAGAAAGGAATTTGAGTGGGCGTATGGGCAGTCAGAATGTCTCAGGAAGCTCACAATCATGACATTAAGGTAATGATCTTCTTGTTCTGCTTGTCCTTAGCATCAGATGCTCAGAGATGTAACACTCCATTTTGCTCAGCCTTCCTCTTGGGATTGTTACTCTTTTAAAACAAATTATCTCGCTTAATGGCCACCACCACCATATCATGGAATACTAAATCCAAGAAACTCATCATGCATTGTGAAAAGATGCCATGTGCGCAACATTAGTTTACAAGGCTGTCTCATGGGGTTTTGTTTTGTTTTGTTTTTCGTTCTGTGCCTCAGTGCATGAGAAATGTGGGAATGGGAATAGTGAGGGAGGAATAATTTCAGCTATTGGTATGCCATGCTGTTGAAACAAAGGGTCAGGACAGAGTGGTAATACTGGGGAAGCAGGAAATGACTTTGGGTCTTTGGGGCCCTTTGCCTTGTACAGTTTCGCAGTGTTAGTTAAATCGCTCTCCTCTTTTGGCCTCACTAGTTTGCCTTCTCTCAAACAGACATTACAGCAGCAAACGTGACATTGTGGCGGTAGTTTTGTGCTAGCAGTTCAGTCCCCCATGACTTTCTTGTAAGTTTGTGGCACAGATGAAGTATAAAACCTTTGGTTTCCTGACCCCAGTTGTTTTATCTGATGAAAGGTCTTGGGTCTTCTCTGGTAGGCCTGGTCTAACCCCCCCCCCGGAAAGCCGCCTCCAGAGGACTCCCTGGCCTTCCCTGCCACCTATTTCAGTTCCCAAACTGTTAGAATACTTTACCTGACTCTTTTCCCTCTTTGGAATTGTCATCAATTGCCAGTCCTGCTGGTGATTTCGGTGGAGAGACACAAATGCAACATAAGCAACAAGTTAGAATGAACTTCCCTGCCCTGGATCTCTTGCTTGAGGAAACATCTTCTGGGGTCTTTTCCTCTCTCTTTTTTGGTTATGCTGACAGCGAGCCTCTGCTGCTTTCCAGATTCTTGTCTCTTGAGGACAACATGGCTCTACCTCAGAGAGGGGCAAAA